TATTCTTGAGTGATTATATGGTATCAGAGCCTATACAACTCTAACGAGCACGATCCATTTTTTTTCATACCTAACCCTCCAATGACGAAAGATAGGAACACTACCAGAGTTGTCAATGCCGACAACACTACCGGTACCACAACCATCGTCGGATTCAACCTCGCTTCCCAACTACCTATCAAACTTGGTGGCAGTAGCAATTTTGCTACTTGGAAAGATCAGTTCTCCATGCTTATGCATGGCCATGACCTCTATGGTCACCTTGATGGATCTACCCAGATTCCCACATCGAGCACCACTTTTGGCACTGATACAACCCTTAATCCTGTTTATACGCTTTGTTTCCGTCAGGATCAACTCATCTAGAATGCTCTTATGGCGCCTGTTGACCCTACCATTGCTTCTAGAGTTGTTGCTGCAACACATCCAAACATGCTTGGGACTCCTTGCATACTTCTTATACAAACAAGTCCCAGACTTAGATCTTCAGCCTTCATGACCAACTTGCACGAATCACAAAAGACAACATTCTTATTACTGAGTACCTTCAGTGTATTCAGCCCTTCTCTGATGAACTTGCCACTGCAGTTGCCCCAGTCACTAACTCTAAACTTATCATCAAGATTCTTAGTGGACTTGGCCCTGAGTTTCGTGAGATATCGGTTGCCATACGAGCACATGACACCACCGTCACCTATGAGTAACTTTATGAAAAGTTGATCGATCACGATCTCTTTATTCGACATGAGGAAGCTAAGAAAACTCATAGTCCTATCACAGTAGCAGTTGTTACTCACAAAAAATAGAACAATAGTATTAACAATCGCAACAATCGCCGCCAATCCTACAACAACAACTCTCAACCATGGTGACAAAATACTCGATCTAATACATCCATCCAGTGGCAACCCCAAAACAATAACCCAATGGGTGTTATTTGTTGCCAATTATGCAACAAGATTGGCCATACTGCAAATATATGTCGATCCAAGTCACATAATCATTTTGAGACCAAATCCAATTATATCACAAGCTTCGCACTACCGCTAACCCATGGATAGTTGATTCCGGTGCCACACACCATATCACAACCGAACCTCATAACCTACAACCATACCACGACAATGAGAATGTCTCCATGGGTGATGATAACATAATTTTCATCTCATATATTTTTCTACTCAGTTAAATGCATCAAATAACATTTTTAAGCTAAGTCATACTCTATGTGCACCAGCTATCAAACGTAATCTTATTTCTGTTTCCAAATTTTGACAGGACAATATAATATCTGTTGAATTCTTTCCTTTTTCTTTTCTTGTGAAGGATGTGAAAATGCGAATACAGTTGGCACGCGGTCGGACAAAAAATGGACTATATGAGTGGCCCACTTCCTATCCACAAACTCACATATCTACCACTTCAACTTTCCTGATCACTTGGCACCAAAGATTGAGTTACCCGCACTCTAGAGCTTTTGCATATGTCTTGAATAAATTCTCGCTCCTATTTGTTGAGCGAGACAAGTTTTTTTTATTTTAATTCTTGTTTGTCTAACAAAGCCCATTGGCACCCGTTTCACACATAACTCTAGAACGCTCTAAACCTCTTCAAATTATTTTTAGTGATTTATGAGGACCCTCTCCTATGTTATCTCTTGATAAAAAATTATATTATTGTTGATCAATACACAAGATACAATTGGCTCTACACATTTAAAAATAAATTTGAAGTCAGAGAAATTTTTCAAAAATTTCATCCTTTGATAGAAAGGCATTCTGATACCAAAATTATGTCACTTTATATTGATGGTGGAGGAGAGTAAGCGGATTCAGACTCTTCAAAGATTTCTACTCCAGGTAATCCTCCCTCTCCTTCTTCTTCTATAATTGCCACTACTCAGGAGTCTAATTGTCCATGCCCATCTTCTCCGAAGTTTTCGAGCACTGCACGTCAACCGCCAACCCCCAACACATCTATATTCACCAAATTCTACGTCTAAAATATCACAAACCTCTCCACCACTTCTAATGTATCACCGTAGAACACCCTAATCCAAAACCATGGTACCTCTTCCTACTACCTCTGTTTGAACCGGCAACAACCAAGCGGCACCACCAGTTGAACCCATACTTTCTCACTGCCCTTCCCCTCTCAATCGCATTATCACTCGCTCACAGAATAACATTCAAAAACCAAAGCAAATTTTTGACTACCTTGCTCACTTAGAAACATCACTTGTACCACATACTTTCAAACAAGCCGAGAAACACAATGAGTGGAGAAAAACAATGAAATTAGAATTTGATGCTTTACTGAATAACCGTACTTGGGAACTAGTTCCAAATGATCCTTCTAAAAATTTTGTTTTATGTAAGTGGCTTTTCAGGATTAAAAGGAAAGCATAAGGGTCCGTTGATCTCTACAAAGCGAGACTAGTTGCCAAAGGATTTACTCAGAGGCTGGGTGTTGATTTTCACTCGACTTTTAGTCCGGTAGTCAAACCCACTACTGTCTGAATCATTCTTGATGTTGCTCTCAGGTTTCACTGGCCCCTTCATCAGCTCGACATCAACAATGCATTTCTTCAAGGTGATATTGAAAAGGAGGTTTACATGATGCAATCTCCGGGGTTTACTTATGACAATAACCCGACTCATATCTGTAAGTTGCGCAAGGCAATTTATGGCCTGAAGCAAGCACCTCGGGCTTGGTACAATGCACTCAAAGGTCACTTTCTCTATATGGGATTTGTCAAAACTGAATCTGACAACTCTCTGTTCATTAGGATCAGCCACGCTGGTTTCATGTTCATTAGGGTATATGTTGACAACATCATCGTCATCGGTAGCAATTCTATCACTGTGAATAAGGTTATAGCTTCCCTTGCTTCTCGTTTCTCAATTAAAGATTTGGGAAACCTTCATTACTTTCTTGGTGTTGAGGTGATTCGAAGTTCAGATGACATTATTCTCTCTCAAACAAATTATGTCAATGAAATTTTAAGTGCAGAATTGATGTCTGATTGCAAAAGTGCTAAAGCGCCAATGAGTAACTCCGAGTTACTCAAACTCAATGATGAGGCTTATCATACGGATGCAACTCGCTATTGCCGAGCCGTGGGCAGACTTTAATAACTATTATTTACAAGGCCGGACATTTCCTATGCGGTGAATAAACTATCCTAGTTTATGCAATCACTATCGGACCTATATTGGAAAGCTGTGAAACTTGTTCTCAAGTATCTTCGTGGTACAATCCAGTTTGGCCTCTATGTGTCCCCATATTTTCATTTTAATCTGCACATATATTCTGATGTCGATTGGGCTGGAGATCTCACCGATAGATCCTCCACATCTGGCTATATTTTGTTTCTTGATCAAAACCCTATTAGTTGGTCTTCAAAAAAGCAGAAAAGTGTAGCTCGCTCATCAACTGAAGCTGAATATAGAGCTGTTGCTAACGCTCTTGCTGAGCTGTTGTAGGGGAGAAACCTATTGCTTGAGATGAAGCTTCCTTTCAAAGATACTCCCTCAATCTACTGTGACAACATTAGTGTCACTTACCTAAGCGAGAATCTGGGCCTTCATAGTCGCATGAAGCATGTTGAGGTGGACTTTCACTTTGTGCGCAACCATGTTCAACATAAGGTGGTTCATGTTCATTCTGCTGACCAACTAGCTGATACGCTCACCAAGCCACTTGCCAAACCAACCTTTCACCGAAATCTGTTCTAGTTAGGCTTAGTTACACATTGTCTAACTTGAGGGAGGCGTATTGGAACAACAGTTGTTACCAGTTGGATTAGTACTTAGCCTTCATGCATATCCTTAGATTAGATATAGATTTAGAGTTATCCTTTTAGTTCATATTTTTCATTCAGTTAGTTAGCTCTTGATAGTGTTTTGATTTGAATAAGTCTCCTAATTCAAGAAGCACTCTTAGGAAGACTTGTATTTAAACTGAGCTTCGCAATCATATTCTTGAGTGTTTATAGGGCTGTCAAATATGTTACTATTAGGCTCTTATACAGCTATGTTCTTAGTTCTCTCATTAGGCTTTCGAAATTGGAAGAAGATCAGTGAGTTATTCCTATAGGCATCAGTTCACTGAAATGCAATTTTTATTCAATTTGCACAATATTGGATGGAGAGATTGCACCAAATATAAATTAACCAAGACTCCCGGCTCATTGTTGGAAAGTACTCATTGATCAATATTATGCATATGTTTGGGCTGCAGAAGATGGTTTCTAGTCCTGCACAATGGAGGGGTGGGCATGCAAGCCTATTCAGGACAAGCTTAACCAAAGCCATTAGTCTTGTACAATTGCCTGATTCCCAAAATTAAGGTTTCTCTGTTATTTATTGTTTTCAATCTGCTGAGAAATTGTCTAAATAGGTGTTTGTCATGATTTTCTTACCATATTTAATTTTCCTATCTCTTCAAGGAAATGACAACATATTTATCATAATTGAATTTTCCTTTTATTAGAGGAAATTATAAATCTCTCATATTTGGCTAGTCATTTTTCTTGGAAGAAAAGGTTTGGACTTCTATAATTGAGAATCTTTCCTTCTCATTTAGTAGCATCCACAATGTAGTCATACGGGGTCAAAAAGTCTTATTTAAGGGGAGAACTTTTCGGGACAAGCGTTGGTGTGCGAGTTGTGTTTACCTCTTTGTGAGGTATTTGGCCGAACTACGTTAAATGTGTGTCTCTTTTGGTATGTTTCTCTTTATTGTCTGCTTTATCGTCGTTCAAGTATTGCTTACTAGCTTCCGCATGACACCTGCTTATTTCAATCCTAACAGGATAGATACTATGTAAAGAAACCTGTTAAAGCAGAAGGGATGGTAGACGAGAATACTGATATCTGTTGCAGCAGTTCAACTTCTGAAGGGTTAGTGAAACTCAAAGGAATAAATTTTCTGAAGTTAGTATTTTGACATTACTAGAGATGACATTTAAATAGCTTTAATAGAAAAATGCATCAATGGAACTGATCAAGGATTTGTATCTGAATAAATGTTAACTTTACACAATGATGAGCAAACTTTACAAAGTATATAGTTACAAGAGCAGTTGACAAAGATTCTATCACATCACAGATTTTATATGAACTACTAGGAGTACTACTTTCTGTATTTCCTCTACCTTTTGCTTCTTTTTTTTTTTTTTTTGTTTTTTTTTTTGGGTTTTTTTTTTCTTGTAACAATTGTACCTTAACCATAAATTGATATGAAAAACACACACACACACACGAGCACACACACATATATGACAGCAAATCATTGGATTATGCAGCCATTGGCATTCTCGTCGCTCAGGACACTGTAATAGGTGTAAGGCTTTGGCGAGGATGATGATGGTGGAGATGTCGGTGCCTGAAAATACTCGGATGGCAAAGGAGGGGCTGATGGAATAGAATCAGTAGTCGACCACGGTGGTGCTGACATAGGCAGGGGTTGAGAATTGAGGGGCCATGCCCCACCCCAAGGGGTGAAAATTCTGGTTCCGCGGCCACTGCTTATAGCAGCATGACCACCACAACATGATGAAGAAGCAGCACAAAATCCACCACCATCGGAATAATGATCATGTGAAAGCACTTGACGATGAGGTTTGTTCATATTGTTTGTAGTACTAATCTCCAAGATTTTATCAGTAGTGTCATTTCTTGATTCTCCTTGGAATGTTAACTTAATGGTTTTTGTAATCTCCACAGTTTGCAATCCTGGAATTCCAGATAATTGCTCTAGTTGTGCCATAATATCCGGATCATTCAGCGGATTAATCACCTTTGATTGTGTGATGATCTGAACATTTTCCGCGCTGCTGTTCATAGACGGAGTTCCTTGCTCCCATAGAATTTCTGCTTTTCTACCAAGTTTTTCTAGTACGGTTAGAATTGTTGCAGGATCAACTGTGCCTGAAATGATAACATTTCCAAGCTTTTCATCAATTTTCACAGAATGGACACCTTGGATTTTCAGCAGCAGGTTTCTCACTTTCCTTTCACAATCCTTGCAATGTAGTTTTAGCTTGAGAGCAAAGGTGTTTGGAGAAACCAAAGAATAGGCCATTGATTTATTTCTAGCAGCAAACATGTACCTTCTTGGTTTGGTGTTTTTTTCCAAATAATCCTGGTTGCAAGAAAAGGAAAATAATAACTAAAAATAAAAGAACAATACGAATGCTATATACAATAGACGAATTAAAAACTACTACTACTTGCTTGTCCTCCTTTCTCAAATTCTCTCCTAAATTTTTAATTTTAAGATAAGATCCGGACCGGATTGGGTTAGGTCTCTGAAAAGAGGGTCCGCTCTTTTTAACCCGATACAGCAAAGTAATAGCAAAGAGTTAGTACTGATGGGTTGGATGAGAGGGCATATTCGTTTTCTTGCTCGTTAGCGCTTGACTAATAAGATAGAAGGAGTCTTTCTTGCTTGTTTAGGACAACATATAATGACCTTAAAAGGGGGTGCCCTCCCTAAATACTAGCTACTAGAAGAGGAATAAAAGCATATAGCTAAAATGTCTAAGAGAGTCGAGGACCTTCGTATTCAGCCTGCCGAAAACAGTTTCTCTACTTTCTCAACATAGGAGTAAGATTTTTGTACACATTACCCTAACTCTATGGATTTCACTGAATTTGTTGTTATTGTTGTATTCAACCTTTATTTTACTCTAAGAAACGTGTATAAAACTGAAGAATGAGAAGAGAGGGGATGTGGCCTCTACAATATTAACAAGTCCAAGAACTCTAAATTAAACTCTGAACCCCAAAATAAAAAAAAAATTAACAAGTCAAAGTCCATATCCTTTTCATTTTCTTTATCCTCAGAAAAAATGATAAAGACAGCCTAAAAGAAAGAGAGGACAAAAGAAAGACTTTCCGCTTTTATGTATGAAGTAATACTTCCTCCCTCTCATATTAACTATCGTAGTTATTAAAAATAGTTGTCTCAAATTATTTGTTATTTTAGAAGTTCAAGACAAAATTAATTATTTTTTTCCTTTTTTTACCCATAGTAATAATTATTCTTGAAGGTGGAGATAACACATAAATAAAATAAATATTCAATAAAGAGGGATCATGTTTAAGACATAAATAAGAGTAAAATAGTCAAATCTCTTTATTCCTAATTAATATTTTTTAAGGAGAGAAACACGACACATAATATGAAATATAGGGAATAATATCTAGTGAGAAAATTGTTGGTGGGAAGTGTGAAAGAAATAGAAGATGGAAAGATGAAAGGATTATCAGCTAAAGGTTTATTAAATTGTGAAAAGCAACAAGAAGTTAAACAAAAAAGGGAAGAAACTTACCCTTTGAGATTCTTGATATATAGTACTATAGCTTTAGGATCAAGGAGAGGTAGGAAAGAGTTGGATTTGAAATATTTATAGATAGACAAGGGCAAAGGATCTAGTGACAAAAGTGTTTATTGACTAATTCCAACACCACCTTATAATTAATTATACCAAAACGTATAGTCTAGCTCTTTACTTTTTTTTGGTATAGATCACTTGCAATATCACAGAAATTTTCATATAATATCACTTCTTTCATATTACGTAATGTTCATTGCTCAGCTTTAATTTTCATATAATTTTAAAAATAGGAAAGTGCTTTCATCGAGCTTTCCTCTAAGTCAAATATGACAATAAATAAATAAAAATTTAAGGAGTAGGTGAGTCGTGACTCGTGAATACTATTCGTCTTCCCGTGTCATTTGGCCTTTGTCATACAGTCAGATCTCTTTGTAACATCATCCTCATATAACAGTCATTCACTATAAAAGTCATATTTTTCTGGTAACCGATTTTTATATTATGTTATAATATAGGAGTATATTTTTTATAAGCACTTCACTATAGCAGCCAAAAAATATCAGAACAAACGAGGCTGTTATAGAGAGGTTTGATTTTTAAAACAAACAATAAATGTTATGCTTGATATGATGGAAGTTATTACTCAACCAATTACGTTTTTTAGGTACATGCTTTTAATAAAAAAAAATATTTTCTGCTATTTGATGAGGAAAATTATATTTGAAAAGAATAAATTTTAAAGATAAAAATAATATTATTAGTAAATGAGATGGTGTTTTGATGAAATTTTCAACTATTAAAAGTTAATAATTATTTCATATTACTGAGCAAGTGTTATGAAATTAATATTAGGATAGTCGCAAAGCAAATAACCTGAGTCTTATCATACACATTTATTTTCGTTCCTCCCTTTAATGATCCTTGGAAATTACAAGCGAGTTCTCCTTTAATATTTTTTTTTTTCGTTTAATTATATAGCAGATATAGTTATACATTTCTTTCGCTCAGGGCGCGTACATAGGTCGGGTTGGTTCGGATTTTATAATTACCAAACCAAACCAATTGTGTCGGGTTATTAAATTTAAAGATCAAACCAAACCAATAAAATTTGGGTTTTTCAATCTCGGATTTTGGGATTATTCGGATTTTTTTGGGGGTTTTTCCGGTAAAATCTTCGTAGAACAAACACATATAACTTGTGCTCAAAATATTTCTTTAATCCTAGTAAGATGCAACTATATAAAGTATTTTCCAAGAAAATAACATAAAATATGAGATGTGTCATGGCATTATCCTAATATTCAACAATAAAGACAATAAAATTATGTAATATAAATATTGCTAACTAAAAAGCCATAATAAAAATAAACATAATCTAAAAGTACTAGGTCATGTTAAAATAAGTAGACTAATAAGGGAGTATTAATTACATGATTAAACGCTAAAGAAAAAATAAAAATTGATTATGCATTTTTATTCAAAATTATTGCAAAACAAAAAATAGATATTCAATACATTCTCGTTCGTAGTATTGAATTGAATGTCTTTTGTTATCATTAGCATTAATTTGATTTTGGTTTGGGCTTTTGTTAGCAATATTTAATTACTAATATTAATGGCTATAAAACTTATTGGAACATTCAAAAATTATAAGTCCAACCTTGAAATAATACCTTAAAAGATAAAATTATGAAAATTTTTAAGAAATATTTATAAATTACATCACAATAAATATCTTTATATATTAAATATATCTAAGATTTCTATATATGTAATGTCGAATTGGTTTGGTTTCGGTTTGACTTTTTTGGTTAAAACCAAACCAAATCAATTATGGTCGAATTTTTTTTTCAACACCAAACCAAATCAAACCAAACCATAACCGAGTTTTTTTTCTCGATTTGACTCGAATTATCGAGTTGGTGCGGTTTGTCGGTTTCTTTTGTACATCCCTAGCTGTGTTTAACAAATCGTGATTTACGTCATACTATTATATGCATTTAATACGTGTTGACTATGTTTCTTGCTGCCAAAGTAACCGAATTTATTTATTTTTTTATTTTTTTGCCTAATGCGGAATCGAAGCGACTGTTTTAACTAAAGTATTCATAAAAACTATATTATCGGTTTAACTTAATGGAATAACAAAGATACTTTGCCTTGGTTTGCTAACTGCTACTAAGCCTTAGATTTAATTTAATTTGTCTTCAGTCATTTGGTTTTAAATTTAATTTATTCTTTCTTTGAGCAAAGGATAAAGTTGGTCCAATTTTAATTGATTGTATATTTGAGGCGAGCTTTCATCGAGCTTGCTGAGAAAACAAAACGAAAAGTTTCTCCTAAAGAATTTCATTTCTTTTCTTCAAAATAACTAGCCATTTATAGGATAATATTAGAATATTCATTAATTGGAGAAAAAAAAGTAGGATATAAAATTAAAAAAATTTAGTTTTGCAATTGACCAGTTTAAATTTTCTGTTTTTCAACTAGATTTGTTCATTACACGTTTAATGAGCCAAAGTTTGACCAAGTTACGCTAAAAGAGTGTTGACAGAAAAATAGAGCATCTCAACGTTATTTCTCGTTTCATTCTAATAAAGGTATTACTTCTTATTTCCTTTCTCAAGTTGTTTTAGTATTTCTTTTCAAAAAGTAACATTCTATTTTCCTTTTTTTTTTGTAGGAATACGGATTAGTCCAAGTTAGACCGAAGAGTGAGAGTTTGTAATTGAAGTCGGGGGACGGAATAGGTAAGTTCCTTCCCACGTAGCACTAAAAAGGAAGTTCGAGCAACCGAAGAAATAGCCCAAAAAATAAAAAAGGGGGCTATTATTTTTTTAATTAGTTTCCTTGTAGAATTGGAATTTTTTTTCCCCCCTTATTTTTTATTATTTACTTTCCTTATTTTTAGTTGTTTCCTCTTTTTTGTTCGGATTAGGGATGTAATAGCTATGTAGACTCATCCTTGATGGAAGCGAATTTCCTGTGAATTGCGATTACTAATCGGGTGGAGATCCCCTCCAGTAACAATTTATCCATTATTGCTCAATACATTTACTGATTTGTGTCATGTGTCTACTCAATTAATTTATGGTTGAGATTCAATAGGTTAATAAATAACTAAAAATGATAATGCACTTTCAAACAAAAAATAGCAAAAAGAATTTAGTACTAACGGCATCCGTCTATGACACCGTTTCTTTCACTCAAATACAATATTAGGTAGGTCCCTCCGTAATGTCATAACCAGAGTTATGTGTTCCCGAATTCATTCTTACTGATGTAAATGATTTCTTTACTTTAGAATTGGTCTTTTCTATTTATTTTTTTTAAAAAATGAATCTTCACAAATAACACAATAAATGACAAGAATTATTTCTTCCATATTGATACAAAAATATTTGAATAATGAGATTCAAATGAAGTTGTTTAAATGCAATAATTATTATTAAAGCGGGTAAATGATTGTGTAAGTTGAATTCCACCCACATTATTTTTCTTTTACTTTTCTTTTGCTTATTCTATATGTTTTACTGGTTATGACATCATGGTGGGAACTGGAACCTACCTAATATTGTATTTGAGTGAAAGAAACCGTATAATAGACGGATGCCGTTAGTACTAAGTTTTTGTTGTTTTTTGTTTGAAAGTGCATTACCATTTTTAGTTATTTATTAACCTATTGAATCTCAACCTTGAATTAATTGAGTAGACACATGGTACAAATCAATAAATATATTGAGCAATAACGGACAAATTGTTACTGGAGGGGATCTCCACCCTTACTAATCATTTTGGGAGATTGGAAATCCTACTCCTTTTCGTATTGGACTTGGGAATTAGTTCTTGACGAAATTCTTTTTTTCTTTAAATTTTATATATTGCTTATTGTTATTCGAAGTTGATTTATTTTTTTCAGTCTTCAATTCATTCAGGAATTTCTATATTCTACAATGATTAATATACCCAATGTATTTTTACACGTGAAGTATGGAAGAGTACGCAAACCTTATCCTACTTTGTAGAGGTAGAAAGATTTTGCCAATAAATCATCGGCTAAAGAAAAATATTAAAAAAGGAATTTCCATATTCTACTTATTAATTAGTTTTGGTAAACAGATAAAAAAAAGAAGGAAAAATAACATTGTATAGCCGGTGTAAAAATGATAGCCATACCAAAATTTGGTATCAAATCCTTTGATGAACAATAATAACAGAAATATGAAAATAATAAGAGAACCGAGTAGAAGAAGAGAAGAAATGAGAGAGAACTCAGAGATAGAGAGAGAAACTAGAAGTGCATTATCATATTAAACATATATCTTTTATATTAGAATTCTATATCTATGTAATTTGAAAATGCAAAGTAGCTGACTAATGCGTGCAACTAACTTTCCAGGTAAAAGCTAAATTACAATCTAAAAGCTAACTTTTTAAAATATCCTAATCATCATCTACTCAGCTGCTGAAGTCCTCGTTGGTTATTGTCCCAATATCTGTATCAATACCCCATCGATTAGCAACACCCTTGTCCTCAAGGGTGAAGGCAAGAAATCGAGTTCTCAAGGTAGAAGCAAATTCCCAAGTAGCATAAGAAGGATCCAAATCTGTCCATTTGATTAAGCATTGAGCAACAGCTTTGTTGCCCTTTTTGATCAATCGACGAGCAAGGATAGCTTCAAGGAATGGGCATAAAAGGCTAGCCAAATCCACGATAGGAGGGTGAATGATTTGAGTTGGAATGTCATGACAGAACTTAAGTTGAGAGATGTGGAAAGCGGGGTGGATCAGGACCTACGGAGGTAGTAGGAGCTTGTAAGCAACAACACTAACTCTTTCCACAATCGGATAAGGACCTAAGTAACGCGAAGTCAACTTGTTATAAGGAGAGACTGAGAGAGTGGACTGTCTGTAGGGCTGAAGTTTGACAAATCCCAGTCACCAACCTTGAAACTTTTGTCAGTCTTATGAGCATTAGCTTGTGCCTTGCATCCTTTGTTGTGCGCGAGACAAGTGGAACTTAGCTAAGTGAACCTTAAACTCGCGTGATAGCAGTACTTCTTCAATAGAAGTGGTGTCAGAATCCCCA